TAACAGTACTTTGTGCATAAAAAATTGTTTTTAAATTTTTTTGTCAAATGCTTTATAATATAGTATAGATATGGATATATAATATTGAATCAAAGTTTGAAAAAATATTAATCTATACGATATGATACATGATGTAAATGAATATGTAGAATTTTATTTTTTTTTGAAGAAAATAAAATAAATGATTTCAAAATAGAATCTACAAGACACCAACTTCCTGAACGTATTATTTTTGTAAAATAAGGGCTTATTTATTAGCAGCTCAATAAGTTTTATGAAATTAATAACTTATTTAGTCCACTATAGATGACTGATAAATAAAAAGTGGTATATTTAATGATCTTATAAAGGAAGCTTTATGCAAAAAACTAATTTTTTTTTCTACACTTTCCCATCTCAATTAAAAAACACGTTCACTTCATCTCTAAAGTAACCCTTCACAAAAAAAAAAAAAAAAAAAAACCTTTCAAATTTACATATCGAGATTAATCCATACAAACTACTATATTCATAAATAAATTAATGGAAAACCAACCAAATAGTCTCTAACTTCATTAAAATTCATATTTAGAAGAACTAGAAGGGTACTCGTGCAATGCAGCGAGATACAACTCGATTTTAATGTTCTATTTTATTCTTTGTCTCTGTCGATGGTATAATACGATTTTATGTGTTTTTAAAAAAACAATAATGATTTTTTTTTGAATAAAATATAAATTTGAAGATATCACATAAAATTTTGAAAAAAAAAATATATCAATGTTAATATCAAATCAACTATTTAAAAATTCTTATTTTTTTATGTAATTTCTTTAATTTTTTTATTATAATTTAATTTAAGTTTAATAATGAAATAATTTATTTTTGATTTAATAATATAACATTCTGTAAAGATAATAATTAAGCATTCTGTTAGAACTCAATGACTATCTTAATTATATTTTAGATTTTTTATATTTAAAATGAGATGTTTATCTTGTATTTGACTATGTTTATCTGCAATTAGTTACACGAATTCAGATATGGAGTTTTAATAAATTGTACTTACGCACAATCTACTTGTAATCTTGAGTTTTAAGTAACATTCATTAATAAACAGTATTTTATGCATAAAGAGTGGTTATTAAGTGTTTTTGTCAAATATTTTATAATATAGTATAAATATTAATTAATTCCTTTTAATTTTTCAAAGGAAAGGATAGTAAAATTGGTTTTTCAAAATAAAAATGAAAACAAAATTAATTTAATTTTATATAATTTGTCTAAGATGTTAATACCATATGAAAATTGACGGCAAAGGTATAGAACTTCAAAGCCACATTTTAGAAAAAATTAATTCATTTTCTGATAAATTAATAGATAAAAAACAAGTACAAAGCTTTTTAGGAATACTTAATTATGCGTCCGATTTTATTAAAAATTTGGCCGTATTAAGAAAACTCTTCCAAGATTTACTTAAGAAAAATAAAATCTTTATTTTTGATAAGGGTTTAGAGAACCAAGTAAAAAGGATAAAAGAATATTGTAGAACACTGCCAAAACTCTAATTACCAAAAGAAAATGGTAATTTGATTCTTGAAACAGATGTTTCTGAAAATTATTGGAGTGAAGAACTTAAGAAAATAGATTATAACAAGAAAAGATTGGAGAAAACATATGTAGATATTGTTCTGGTAATATCCAAATAAGATATCGTATAAATGAAAAAGAATTATTAGTTGTGGTAAAAAGTTGTCAAAAGTTTTATTAATTTTTATTACCAAAAAACTTTTTACTAATAACTGACAATACTTAAGTTAAGGCATTTATTAGAAATAATTTACCCTCTAAATCAGAGTATAAAAGATTGATTAGATGGCAAACTCTTCTATCTAAATATAATTTTGATATAGAAATTATTAAGTCGGATAAAAATGTTTTAGCAAATTTTCTAACCAGAGATGGAAAAGATGACTGAAGAGATAGATACGATTCAAGATACGGTCTCAGATATCATTGATCTTGCCAATCTACCGGGCTTACTTTACAAGTTTGAGATCTATTGACAAGAGCAAGCCAGATAATAAAAAATGGAGCGATAAGTTGTAAAACCGACAATTTTAAGATAAGAACTTTGTTAAAACGTACATTTAAAAAAGATGATACTTCTTCACCTGAAATACAGATGACAGATCAAAATTCTGAGGATAGTCAAAAGACAGTGGAAGAATCCTCGTCTTTTAGACAACGTTCAGAAAAAAACGATTTTTAAAGAAAAAGAAATGTTAATAGATATTCCTGTTCAACAGACTTATGTTGAAAATCAAACTTCAATGATGAAAGATTTATATATTCTGAAACAACTTTTAGATATGTAGATTTTTCTGGGATTTACCATAGAATTAATTACCTTCAAGGATCATCTCCTCAGGAGATTAAACATTGATACGATTTTGGTGCCACAAATTCGATATATCTCACTACTCCCGATTTTCCTGAAATTTTAGAATTGCCCCATTGGGTAATGATGGGTGTTAAAGATTGTCATCTTAATAACCTAACGATTACCCCAAAAGGTGTACTGGTTCTAAAAAATTTATCTGCAGGACCAATTTTTTTTAAAGAAAATAGATATCCAGCTTATTATTTTATCCAATTGGCAAAATATGAAGCTTTCTCAATTTTGATAACTAATAAAAAAGAAAATTTTCAAAATTTTTGTGAAAATGATATTCATTATAGAAGAGCTCTAGGCATCCAAATTATCTTACAGGGAATAGAAGCCAACTTTAAAAGAGGATTCCGTACATATAGCGGAAATAAGATATATTCATTAGTAATGATCTCCCCAGCAAAATCAACACCCAGAGCAACGGAGAATTATCTGAGAACAAAAATATACTTATTGGATAAATGGATCATTAAGTCAAACCCACAAGCCCAGTTCAAGATATGTCAATTCAGAGGACATAATAGAGACTGATGTCCATCATGCTCTCCAAAGAAAGAGAAAGAGACAGATGAAGATATATGTGTTAACCTAACATCTGATAACGAATAAAAGAAGATAAATAAGACACATGAGACCCATCCCACGTGTAAAAAACGTGGCCATGCCACCTACATGGGAAATAGGGTGAAAAATCCCTTCCCTAGGGACCTTCACAAGGAACCAATCAAAGAGAAGGTTCTACATGTGAAGAAGGAGGCCACAAGTTACAAGGGAAGATACAAGTTACAAGGGAGAATCAGATAGGAAGAAAGAGATGTATAAATAGATAGGAGAAGGAAAAGGGTGGGAAAACAATCCTACCTTTAACCGTTGTATTTCTTTGTTACATGTACTTTTCCACCACCATGAAATAACAATCTTCATATTTTCCTTATGATCTTCTAATTCATGTACAGTTGAGATTATTTTTTCTTTATATAAATGAGTCTTCTAACAAAAATCCATATTTTTAAAGTACTAGTTGTGTACCCGTGCAATGCGGCGGCAACCATTAATTTTAAAGATTTTGAAGTTCCAATAGTTTTATAAGATAAGATTTAATGATGATGTAGGTTACACTTGGTCTTTACATATTAATACAATTTGAATAAATAAGAGTTATGGTTCCAATTACAGACTATCGATGAAAAAARTTGTATGACAGTTTAAAATCCAATATATTTAAACGACTCCACAAATGTGTTCGATTTACACAAAGAGTAAAGAACCAAGAAACTTGAGTTTTAAGATAAACACTCAAAACCAATAAAGAAAACTACAAATTTAACAGATCATAAGCCATGAAAATACCAAAAAAGATGAGTTTTAGAATGAAATTTCAACTGTTTATCCTCTTTCTTGGCCAGAAACTCAGATTAAGGTTGAATTAATACATGTATATATATATATATATAAATATATAAATATATAAATATATAAATAAATAATATAAAAGTATAAATTGTAAATATTAATTTTTTTTTTCACAGTATATATAATATATAATAATATAATTAAGTCAAAAACTATTCAATATTGGACTCATTTCGAAGGTATTAAAGAGACGATTATAATTGTGTAACTTGTTAAAATAAAAATATAGTATATATATATATATATAAATAAATAACTATATTAATTCCGAACATATTATGGTGTGCAATTTGGACAACCTAACCCCAAAATATAATATATATATATATATATAAATAAATAACTATAAAAGTATAAATCATAAATATTAAAAATATTTTTTCAAAGTATATATAATATATAATAATATAATTAAGTCAAAAAATATTGGACTCATTTCGAAGGTATTAAAGAGACGATTATAATGGTGTAACTTGTTAAAATAAAAATATAGTATATATATATATAAAAATAAATAACTATATTAATTCCAAACATATTATACAGTGCAATTTGTACAACCTAACCCCAAAATATATAATATATATATATATATAAATAAATAACTATAAAAGTATAAATCATAAATACTAAAAATATTTTTCCACAGTATATATAATATATAATAATATAATTAAGTCAAAACTATTCAATATTGGACTCATTTCGAATGTATTAAAGAGACGATTATAATGGTGTAACTTGTTAAAATAAAAATATAGTATATATATATAAATAAATAACTATATTAATTCCGAACATATTATATAGTGCAATTTGGACAACCTAACCCCAAAATATATAATATATATATATATATAAATAAATAACTATAAAAGTATAAATCATAAATATTAAAAATATTTTTTCACAGTATATATAATATATAATAATATAATTAAGTTAAAAACTATTCAATATTAAACTCATTTCGAAGGTATTAAAGAGACGATTATAATGATGTAACATTATAATGATGTAACATTATAAGTTTAATAAAAAATACATTACAATTATCTTTTTCGCATTTAACCATCTAATTTAATATGTTCATAATAAGAATGCCCAATTCCGGTTCCAATTCCAGTTCCCATTTCTCTTTCTCTTTCTCTTTCATCGGGGGGAATCGCGAACAATCAAAACAGGGTCATATTCCCCATTCTTTCTTCTTCTTTTCTGGAAATGGATGTGATCGAGCTTTCTGTTTCATAATTCACAACACCACCTTCAACCGTTAGGGTTTCATCTCTCATGGATCCTGAGCAGACTTTCATCAGGGTTCAAGAACGATTCTCACATGTCCTCACACCAAGAATACGAGCTTCTCTTGAGTACATATATCTCTTCATAGCCATCACCCTCTTTTGTATTCTTGTTGTTATGCATGCCAATTACGTCCAACAGGTAATTCAATCCAATTACACTCTTCAAACATTTTCTATTTCTATTTACTTTCATGTTTCGATCGTTTGATGAATGAAAGAGTTGCAATTTGCAACCAGACAGTGCCTGGAATAATTAACATGGTTGTTCCCTTCACATCTATGCTGGATGCTATGTAAGAATGATATTTGCTAAAAGTAAACTGCACATCGTTGTTGACTTGATGTCAATTTTAGGTTAGTGAGACTGCATCCATATGTTATCCTCTTTCAGTTGGTGAGCGATGCTCGAATTTTGGGTAGCATAACGATACAGAAGTTATGGAAGATCACCAAGTATTAGCAGAGCATGCTGCATACATCAAGGGTGCCAACTAACTTTAGGTTTTAACAGACAGCACAAGGACAAGTGGACACGCCGGATGTATTTTCTATGTATACCTATATTCTGTTCTAGGTATAAGCTTTCCCTCAAAAGTTATATCACGGTGGTATCAATAGAAAGCAAGAGGTGAACCTTCCTAGAGTTTTAGATCATAACTAGATACCTTTGATGCACTTCTATGATTGTATCTAAGGACAACTCCTTTAGTTGCAGTCAGTCATATCGCTTTTTTTTTTGCAAATTGTGGACAACCTCTACCTAGATTAATCAATACCAATCAACAAATACATACATACATACATACCTATACACACATTATGTTCATGAGGCGATGAGATGTGGACACCAACACACTTCTTCCACCATGATGAAACTTCCAATCAAATCTATTCTAAGGTGCCCGGAGGCAGGGGAAACAAAGGAGGGATTGATCGACCAACTTGAACAGATCCATAACCTGGTTCCATCTGTCCTGAATGAGGGAATTAAGGCGGGTATAGTCGAACTGGTTGATTTAAGGTTGAATTAACTATAGCATTTTTCCATTCTTAATCTTATCGGCACTCTTTCAACCATGTGCTAATCTATCATGTAATGGAATTTATATATTTGCACAAAACATCATGATAAATCAACATAGTTCCTCTTCATAATAGTCTGGACATCAATATGGAAATATTCATGTGTCAAAGGAAACATAAGATATTATGATTACTCAGTTGAGGTGTTATCGTCTAATAATATTGATGGTTATAGTTTATCTAACTGATTAGTTCTTCATCAGTAAGTCATGGTTTATCTAGCTGACTAGCCTGTTGCCGGTGTACATCAGGTCTCTGAAGGATTGAGATAAAGGGATAGTAGGCTTATATTTTTAGTAGTCATGTTTCTGCCACTGCTTCAAATATTCTTTTCCAAAGATTATTAATTTGTCTTGTGGAGAACATTTTTTAGGTTCAGCTGCAGCTGTATATTTAAAGCTTGATGATGTAGATATATAGAAGATAACTAGTTTTCTTAGATAATATTGTTAACGTGCAAAACTGGTGGAACCAACCATGAGAAAACCAATCAGCCTTCCTAGAGGTAGAAGGTATCACTACATTTGGTACATAGAAAATTTACATACCAAAGGTTACAACAAACTTGCTAGAATGAGACAGGTATTAGAAAATTTACTTTCAGATGTAGATACTGTAGTATCAATCCAGAAGAATAATAAAGATAATTTTCAAGTTGAACAAGTCATTCATATATGACATGAAAATCGAAGAGTCAATCCCTGATATTGTATGTGGTGTTCAATGACATACTTGAATATATGTGTAAGAGGTCCACTAAGGAAATCATCATATTCTGAAGGAAACTAATGTAAATATATAGATATTATAAGAGGAACATAAATGGTTTTCATTCACTTGATTCCCAACTAGTGTGATAGCATGCAAAGAGAGTTGTTTTTTTTTATTACAGTTAGAGATAGGGATTATAATATACATTGACGTAAAGAATGGAGATAAATTGTAGTAGGACGTGAGTCTGGTGAGTTTCTAGGTGATCTAGAATTGCATGAATATCTGCTTGTGGTATCAAAAGTTTGTTTTGATGACAATAATTAGATATATAGCCAACCGTGCTTTAATATGTAAGACACCAGAAAGTTCAGAACAACATATTCAAAAATGAGTCTGGCAAGGATGAGAATGTTTAGATGAAAGGGTGGTACATTAGAAGAAAGGAAAGTCGGAATGAATAATACTCACTTATGATGTTAGAGGAAGTTTCTTATGAAGTAACCTTACTGGTAGAGCTAGAGAAAGTAGTCTGACAGCTTTTGCTAGAATAGAGAGAACTATTTTAGCATAAACTTGGATAGGATAAGAAAGCTGCCTTAGATTTAACAGGCCATGTTTGCTTTTTTAAAATCAACATTATAGAGAAAAGGATGATTGTTGGCGACTTGGCGCTGCTAACTAATTGTATTTAATTGACGGGAAGAAAGGAAAAAATAATTAGCAGAGAAGAGGACTGTGTTATCATAAAGAATACACTTGTTTGCTATATTCAAGTACAAGTAATATAATAGGATCCCTGGCTTGTCATTTGGTACACTTGCTGAGCTTGTTTAGGTCTCCTTTCGATGGCTTTGCTTACAATGCTCTTATTCTTTCCAGCAAATCTCTTGGTGTATATATTTCGTCTATTCTTCTAACTGGATTCCATGTTCTGTAGCCTGGCTGCTCAAGTGAACTTACTGGAGTTGCAACTACTGAAGCGCAGCTTATCCAAATTAAGGTCTGGTGTTTCCTAGTGGTGACATACATTCAATTTTACTACATATGTGCAATGTTATTAGGTACTTCAGCACTATACGAGATATCAAGTGTCCAAATCATTCATTACTTTACCCAGAATATTCAATCCTCTTTGTTTGTGTCTTTAAGTAATCATATGGGCTTCTTTCGTTGCAAGTTACGTAGGGGTACACTTCTAGCATCAAGAAAGGTTTTGAAACCCTTACAAAAGACAAGGCTCCATTGTTTATATATCTTTCTCCAACTCTCTCTCTCTCTCTCTCTTGTTTTTTCGTTCCTGATACTCTTTTTTGTAACTTTCAGTCTTCAGATTTTCTAAATTCTATTTCAGTTGAAAGATGAGTGTTGTTAGCTGTCGAAATTGAACCTTCATTATACTTCGAACAATGTGCTAGACCGTATATTCAGAGATTTGTGGTTTTAAAAGTAATAATTTACTTGAGTAAAAACTCAGTTTCGCAAGGGTTTATCAAACATTTTTATAATATACTAGCTGTGTACCCGTGAAAAGCAGGGGATGTAATATTTTATTGTAAACCGAGGATGAAAAATTAATGCAATTCCTCGTGTAAAAGAAAATCCGAAATTTATGGAGTATATCGTCGTATTACTTTGTCTAACGCTTATCCTGTATTTGAACATGTGTATCAATTAGTTTTATGGAGTTCGAATATGGAGCTTTAAGAAGTTGTATGTATGCAATAATAAGTTGTAAACTTGAATTTTAAGAGATTATGCATTAATAAGCAGTACCAAATGTTTAATAAGGTGTTTTTATCTAATGTTTTAAGATATAGTATGAATAAGTGCACAAACAAAATTAATTACAAAAATCTAAATGATAACTAGATAATTAGGTGGGTGAGAATGCCTTGGAATCAAAATCCAGTGGAAGTGTGATAGACCACCCATGTTAGTTTATTTCTCTGCCTTAGGTACCATCCCTTGACAACTATAGAAAGCTGTCATGTCATATATCAAGGGATACCATATCTAAATGCAGTGAAAGTGATCTTCACTCTCACAACTACTGTCTCGTCTCGTACAACACTATAATGAAAATTCTACAAACCATAAATTATTATGAAACATAACAGAAGTTGTAACTGTTACTTAAGTTCACAATTGATGATTAACAGGAACAAATCATGTCAGGGATTCAATTAAGATCCACTAAACAAAAGTATGCATATATATTAAGCAATCAATTACAACACAAATAGAAGGAAAATACACAACCTATTATCTCATACTTAATTGCAGAACTGTTGGTTGAGATTAGTGAACCATTGCTTCTGAAATGTTGGACATGCACCACAGGATCCAGAAAATTCATAGTCTGGGGACATGTAACAAATACCATATTTTAGCAAAATCTTTTCATTTTCTAGTGAAAAAATAGAACAACTTAGCAAATGTTTAAATCAAAGCATAGTGTTATTATAGAAAGTACAGACCTACAACAATAAATTGAAATCACAAAAGATATATAAAAACATAGCATTATAAAACTTCTGGAACAAAAAATCTGTAGCATAGCATTATAATAATTACGGAATGCCAACTCCTCAAGTCCCCAGAACAGCAAATAATCTACCAAAATATGAAATGTCGAATCTGAAATCTAAGCAACTAATATAAGAACCCCAATCAGCAAATCAATCCAAGGAGATAATGACTCGATGAAAAAACAGAGAAAGTAAGTAAATTATACAACCCCACATCACCAATTAATCCAAGGAGATAATGATGAACAGTCAAACAGAGAAAGTGTATGAAATATAGAACCCCAAATCCCAATCAGCAAATTAATCTAAGCAACTAAGTGACTAACTAATCAAGAAAGGAATAGAAGCAATTATAGAACAAACTTTAAATCGAAGCAAGAAGTGTTGAACCGTTAATTGTGCAGGAGATGCTCGTGGTCGGCGGTGGCCGCGTTGCCGGTTTGGGAGTTGGGTATGCAAGGCCGAGTGAGTTGGGATTGTGGGGATTGTACATTTCAACATATGGGGCTGGGGGGAGTCTCAAATGGGAATGGGGGGAAACTAATGAGAGGGAGAGTAATTTTTTTAACCTAGTCAATAAATGTTTTTGACTTTTGGCTGGGAGCCTTTCCCCCACTATTGATAACGTCCGTCCGCCCTTGTCTACCTACCATTAGTAGGACTAGCTACCAAGGTTTCCGAGACAGGGAGAATACAGAGATCAAATTTTCGTAGGGCCCATAAGATAATTTATGATGATACATAGCTGCTATAGTATGCTAGATCCTAGTTAAACATGGAAGTAAATCCCAAGAAAATTCAGAATCCTAGTTGCATTAGGAAAATTACGAAGTCAATCTTAGTTGAAACAGGCAAGTGACCCTCAAGCAATCTTCCCGTATTTTAATCTTTGCAATGTCACATCAATGTATAGTAACACCGGCAATTGGTTAGGATCTTCAAGGCTTCTTCAAATTGCACCAAAGACTCCAAGTTACGCCAAATTGCACCTAGTTTACGAAGTGCACAAAACAACAAGACTACAATGGGTGAATCCTTAAAACATGAAATATATTATTATAAACTAGTATAAAAGTTAGTGGCTCAATATATCGATCAACATCTTTTTGGACAATTATAGATAATACTCACAATTGTTGACTACATTTTTCTTTTTTAGAAGTGAATCAAAATAGAAAATTCCTACATCAAGAAAAAAAAAGTAGCTGGAAAATCTGCTTATGCCTCGTAGTGACTTATGTATCTAATTCTAATGCATGCATGCATGCCTCTGCTATTGCTTCTGCATATCTAAAGGTTGCTATAATCGCGAATGCAGATCATTTTGTTCCTTGATGGTTTATGGAGCCTCCTTCATTTGTGCAGATTACTAGTGCTGGCTTATGGTCACAAAGTGAACCTCAGTATGATGCAAAGAGCATTCTTGACAAAGAAACTGAAGCTAATGTGAAAGTTGCAGAGCAGAATGTTGATGAATCAACATCTTTGGATGCACAGTTTTGGTCAAATTGGGTTAGTTTAAGCGGTAGGAGTGGAAAATCATCTCTAAAATTCTGGAAGTCCGATAATGAACTTCTTGAATCACAACCTGAAACTTCTACTAGCAGTGATAATGTTGAAGATACCTTTCGTAAAACCAAGAAAGATGAATCTCGTAGCAGGTTTCCTATGTCAGCCAAAGAATCACTGAAAGCTGCAATATTCCGCATTGTCCGGAAGTGGCATGGACGCTTCTCATTTCTTTGGAAGCATTCAACACGAATTTTGGGAAGTTTATGGGTGAGTGGACATTCTATACTCTAACCTAGTGAGGCCATAATATTGTCTATGTGTGATATTGGGATATGCATCTATTTGCTTGCAATCTTTCAGTAAACGAGTAGGCCATTTTGTAACAGCCCTAATTTTCAGCCACATATATAGATATATACATATCTTTATCATAATTTCTTAAAAAGTTAAGTTGTTTCTAAAGGCTCTTAATATAAGAACTAAAACAAAGTAAATAACATTATTAAAAAAAGTATTAATAAATAAGTAAGCAAGCATACAAGTAGCTTACAAAGCTACTTACTAATAAGCACATAAGTAGCTTACTAAGCTACTTAAACACAAACAACATGAGCCACAAAAATACTTATGACAAAGCAAACCTACTCTTTATGACAAAGCAAGCCTAGAGAATGAGTTGTAAGAGAAAAGGAGTTTGTGGCAACCCTAAAAGCATTACAAGGCAAGGCTAGAATGAACAAGTACATATGTGGCATATCCTTAGAAACTTACAAGTTGAAAAGCTAAGTGAACAAGTACCTTAAAGCATACCTTACACCCTATAAATAGAAGCTTAAAGGGCTCATTCTTTTCCATCCCAAGATTGTAATACTACCTTAAAGCATAATAAAGACTAGGTGAGTACTTATGAGATTTATGAGGTACATACATGCTACATATAAGTATTTTATGCATTACAAGATATTTTGGCATATTTGCTTTACGTGAATGTTATACAAAAGATGCATGATGGCATTTTTGATACAAGTATGTGTTTTACACCAAGGCATGAAAGAAACGATCAAATGTCAAAGAAATACTTTCTTTAATCCTTACTTGATGTGTAATGTAAGATAATTATCTTTTTCAATTGGGAGAGATGGCTAAGTGGACGAAAGCGATTTGATTGAGTATCGAGGAGTCAAGGTATTTTGGCCAAAATAAACTTCCCCACCAGGACCTACCCCCCAACCTAAAGTAATGTTTGCATGTTATAATACATGTATATACACAAGGCATGAAAGTTTTTATACATATTAAGTACAACCATTTAAACATCCAACGTACGGGATATGGAAAGAAGGTACGTCTTGCAAACGGACCTTATTGGGCAGCCTTATGTGGACCTTAGGTTAAAGAACCTGTAAGAAGTTGGTTTACTTAGCATGTAACTATGAGATTCAAAGAAATGTTTTTATACGTGAAAGTTTATAAGAATTATTTTAATTAGTTGGAAAGAATGTTTTATCATGAAACCATAACTACTCACTAAGCTTAAAGCTTACGTATTCATATATGCATCTAAGGAATCAAGGAGTAGGAACAAGCTGAAGTATTGTTGTTCTAAGATGTTAGAATATTATAAATTGTAAATTTTCATCATCTTCTGCTGTTGTATTAACTCTATTATCATGGAATAAAAGTTTAAGATATGAAGTTTTCTTTCATTCACTTGTTCTAAGGGCAAATGACGATACCCCCGGGAACGGGATGTCACAAACGGTATCAGAGCCTTTGGTTCAAGTGAACTAAGTTTGGTCTTATATTAGACAAACCTAGACTTGAACAACATTTTTTAGCATACATTCTATAAGGATTTCTAACCCATTATAGATGTCTACAAGGAACGAAGGAGATTTGTTCGAGTATGGAAATGGATGGTTACATGAGTCACTACGAAGACCCGTATTTCATCTTAAACCCTCCAAATCAAGTGCTCGAACAGATAATCCCCACTCCAAATCAAGTACCTGAACAAATAGTTCCATATTACAACCCAATGGAACCACCAAATAATCCTAATGCAACTATAAATAATTCTGAGGCCTCCGATGCAAATAACCACGCTATATTTTGATACCCATGGGAGGACTTGTATTGGCAACATGAAATTACATCTCTAACTCACATAGCGCACCCTTCCTTAGAAGCTATACTAGAAGCTGCATCGGGCATAGTAGGAGAAAATTTCCTGGATCCTACTAGGTTGACCCAAGCAGAAATGCCTTATTGGATCAATTAACTGAGAGCAACCATGAGTGCGCAATGGCACAAGAGGAAGCACATAGGATTCGATTGTATACTATAACTGTGGAAGATAAATTAAGGGAATTAAGGAAAGAAACGGAAAGAGCTCTCCAACTCCTAAATCAAACCCAAGCCCAAGTTGTCCGATTACAAGCAGATTGGCTTATGCCAACCATGTTATTAGGAATTCCTTTGCCAGAGACTATAGACTCCCTGCCCAAAGGAGACATAGAAGGGATTGAAAATCCACTATGATAAAATAATAATAGATAATATAAGAGCGAAGCAACTAATTTAATTAGTATCGATGATAGGATGTGAAAAAGGAAAAAATTTCATTTCTTATTTCCTTTAATTTTGTAAAATCATCATCCCGAGAATATATATAAAAGATATATGTTTTTATTATTATGGCAGCCTATGACATGGATAACTGCATATCTGATGATGAGACTATCATAGAAGATCAAATTAGTTATGTATATCATGAGGAGGACGTACCGGTCGACGAAGAAATTGAAAATTTAATTATGGTACCAATAAGTATTGAAGAATACAAATGGGTTCAGGATCAAGCAGTCGAATTAGATAATAGAAATTGGGAACTCGATCTCAGATGTGAAATCTATGAACAAGAGATAAAGATTGCCAAAAGATCCATCATAGCAAGGATCAAGGATAGGATCCGCTTTTGGAAATATAAAGCAACACACATGACAAAGAGGGCTAAGCTATGGATTAAGAAATGTCTTCACCCAGCAAAAGATACCCTCGATCTCCAACCGGCATGGCAATTTAGAGACTTCTTAAGAACCCATCATGCCCCTAATAATTTTCAGATAGAATATATATATATATATATATATATATATATATATATATATATATGCAAATACACATATATAGGAGCGAAAAAAAGGAGGAAAAGTTTATCATTTCCTCATGTTTTGTACCAAATGTTCCAATTTTGTACGATATATGACATGAAATCAAATCTTATCTTTATATTCTTACGATATTATTTTGTAGAATGAATATGCGAAGGACAAATAGAAACAATTCAGAGAATACTAGACCACCAAGACAATGAAGTAGACGTGAAGCAAACCCACAAGGGGATAGGCCAACAAATCCAGTCAATCCTATTGAAATAATTGATATAGCAATAGAAATCTCTCGAAGCATCCAGGAGAGTCTACCGGCTATAATAGCTCAAGTTTAGGCAACTATGAATCAAAGCTTAGTGCATGGAGCAACAGCCGGAGAAAAACAAATAAGACATGAACCTGATAATGGTCAAACTCGAGGATGCTATCACAAAGCATTCAAAACTACTAGTCCTTCTATATTTGAAGGGAAAGGAGGAGCCATAGCTGCGATAAATTGGCTTGATGTCATGGAAAATTGTTTTTGAAACATGTCATTGTGCCCCCAATCAACGAGTAAGGTTTGCTTCCACCAAGTTAAAATATAATGCACTCCATTGGTGGAAAACCATTCGGGCTACCCGAGGTATCACGGGAGCAACAACGGTGTTATGGGATGGATTCAAACATCTAGTCAATCAAAGGTATTGCCCAAATACCGTAGTGAAAGTGATGGAGGAAGAATTTATAAAACTTGAGCAAGGAAATAGATCTGTGGTAGAATATGTAGAAGTATTTATAGAAAAGTCTCGATTTGCAACTAATATGATAATAACAGAAGGTCGAAAGGTAGATCGTTTTATACATGGTTTAAGAAAGGACTTACGACAATTGGTCAATATGTCTCAACCAAAGACTTCCCAAGAAGTTGTAGATTTGGCAATTTTAGCTGAAAAAGATAGTTATATGCCCAATGGCTACCAACCAAACGAAAAAAGAAAGTTTGAAGACAAAAACTTTGGCAGGACATCCAAGAAAGCAAGGAATATTGGTACAAGGATGGCTGATAAACCAATTTGTCCTAAGTGCAATAAGAACCATAGTGGAGAATGTATGATGGGCAACAAGGTATGCTATAAATGTGGCCAACCTGATCATATGGCTAGCAATTATCCTGAAAGGAAAACCTGTTACAATTGTGGTTCAACCAGACATCTTGTGTACAAYTGCCCAAAGCCCAAGAATGTGCAAAAAGCTATAACAACCACTAGTGGAAACAAACCAGAAGCTGGAAAAGTCAGAGGAAGGATATTCCAACTCACTGTCGAGGAAACGAAAGAAATACCGGGCATGGTAACAATATGTTCCTAATTGATAAAAAGCCTGCCAAAATATTATTTGATTTTGGAGCTAATAAGTCGATGGTCAGTCTACAAAATTTTGCAAAAAATTAAATTGTACATCTAAGAAGTTAGAACAAAAGATAGAAAAAGAAATTGTAGATGGAAGAATCACAACCATAAATGAAGTCTATGAAAATTGCTCTTTAGAAATAGACGGGAATTATTTCACTATTAAGTTTCTACCAATGCTTATTAGTGAATTTGATGTCATTATAGGCATGGAGTGGTTATTAGAAAATCAAGCTCATATAGTTTGTCACAAGAAGATAGTGAAAATTGAAAATAAGGATGGTAAGGAAATAATCATTTATAGTAGTCACAAAAAGAATCCCTTCAACTTTATCTTGGTTTTAGAAGCAAGGAAGTGTATACGTAAAGGATGTGAAACTTATTTAGCATATTTGATAAATACAAAAAAGAAGGGAAACGAATAGAAGAAGTGCCGGTGGTCTGTGAATATCCAAAGGTATTTCCGGATGAATTACCCGGAGTACCACTAGATAAACAAGTAGAATTCCATATTGACCTAGTACCTGGAGCAGTACCCATAGCACGGTCACCATACAGGCTTGCACCGTCCGAGATGCATGAACTTTTGAAACAACAAGAATTGCTTGACAAAGAATTTATTCGTCCAAGTTCGTCACCTTGGAGAGCACCAATACTCTTTGTCAAAATGAAGGATGGAACTATGAGGATGTGCATCGATTAT